GGGAAATATTGAGACGACAGAAATCTTTAAAACCCAAACCTCCTGACAATTTAGATGTAGTAATATCAGTCAACTTGCACAGATATAAATGCTTCTTATCAGCAAAAAAACCCACCAAAAATCACGGGACAAAGATGTAAGTTGCTGGCAATGGGAAGATGTGAGCAGTTTAGTGGTCATGATGCATGTAGAGAGAGCATACACTGTATTACAAAGCAAAACTGCCTTACCCGCATGAGACAAACAATGGCCTTTCCATCCTTCCAATCTTGATTTGACCTTTTCAATCACCCTCAAGCCATCTTCTTTACAATTCTTAATGTCATGAATACTACAACCCAAATATAATTCGACTGACTTCCTGCATAGTACTCCTTCCAAAAATTAGAATATCATCAACATACATTATGTGGTTTAGCACAACTCCACCTGTCCCAAGTTTAACCTCGTGCAAATGTCCATCTTCAAGGTCCCGTAATAATAATTTAGATAAAACATCAGCACACAAAATAAATAAATAAGATGAAAGAGGGAAACCTTGGCGTAATCCTTAATGAGGTTGAAATGGCAGGGAGGGAATCTCATTCAACATGATAGAAAAATAATAAGTAGAAATACAATTCATGATCAAATCACAAAATTGTTCAAAAAATCCTCTTAACCGTAGTACATGCATAAAAAAAGGCCATTCCCTTGCATCATATGCCTTGTTTAGTAGACCGTGGAACTTATAATAATATCCCACGTTAGTCATAAAATGCATATTATCCACAATTTGGGGTAAGTATTTGATTTATTCGGTTAAAAAAATTGAACCCAATAAATCATATTTTTTAAATCTGAACTTATAAAATAAAAACTAAACTGAAACCAAATTACTAAAAAATCGAAATAGCTCAAATAAAAAAAAAATAGTTCAGTTTTCAGTTATTTCGGTTAAGACCAATACCGAATTTTATTAATATTATATTATATATAAGTACATCAGTTGCTCTCTTATATATATGGGCCTTGGAAGCCTTATATATAAGGCTGTGTACATATCTCCCTTAGTAGACCCCGGATTCGTGGAAGCCTCATCCACCAGTTTTTTTCGACTAACTAAAATCAAAATCAAAATTTTGTAAAACTGAATAAAAAAAAACAAAATAACCTATTCAAAAAACCAAAACCAAGTTTTTATCAATATTTCAGTTTTAACCCTATCCACAACCATTGAATCTCCTACTTATTATATTTATCTCTCACTTTTACTAGCCAAAATAGAAATCACTTTGAATAATTGATCTTAAGATAAGACAGATAAATTATAGATGACAGTCAGGGCAGTCAACAACCACTGCCTATTGCTGTTTTTGATCAAGAATCCAATCGTCCTACTGAACAACAAACACAGGAAACTTACTATAATGTCTGTGGATGGATCATATATATGTGAATAATAATGCAGCGCCCATTGGATTTTTGATTCACGACTCTGATAATGTTGTTATGACAGCAGTTGGGCAATGATGCAATGCGGCGGGACCATCACAAGCTTAATAGTGGGCAATAATTCAAGACTTTACAGATGGCCAAACCCTTCTAAAATTTTTTGTTGATATATTTCAGGACATAATGGGCAATTATTCAAGTTTTACATGTGGCCAAATCCTTTAGGCTCAATTTGGAAAAGAGCATATAGCACAAAATCTTGTATTTTGTATTATTTTATATATATTTGTATTATATACATTTAAAGTCCAATATGGACAATTTACAATAGAGCAAACTATTGGACATGCCAATGTGTCAGGTCTGGTTTAGAACATGGTGGACTAGTACCGGCTGGTTCTATAAAATAGACCAAGAACTGAACTAATTATTAATCAGGATAATTGAGTTTACACAATCATACTTGACAGTTGACATCTATATTTAATTCTTTATGAAAATAAAAACTTGGAACTTTATTTTTGATAATATATGTAACCTTAATAATTGATAAAAAAATATTTCTAACCAAAATCTTTTATATATTGTCTATCAAATTTATCTTGACATCTATATTTAATTCTTTATGAAAATAAAAGCTCGGTACTTCATTTTTGATGATATATATAACCTTAATAATTGATAAACAAGTATTTTTAACCAAAATCTTTTATATAATGCCTATCAAATTAATTTATCTTTTTAGAGATAAAACGTAACAAAAGTTGCAAGATAAACCATAAATACTTTATATATTGTTAACTATATAATTGGTTTGGATCTCAATTAGTTGGGTTAATTGGTCCATTTTGATTGGGTAGATTCATCCCTAAAACCCATAACTAAGGTTTTAAAAGGCTAAAGGCATAGTTGAGACATAATGGCCCTAAAATGTGAAGCATAAGCTTCAAGGCGTTGCAAGGTGTAAGCCTCAAAGCTTAAGAAAAAAGCATTTCAAGTTTATAAATTGCTAAAAATAACATATAAATGCCAAATTAGAATGATAGAAAGTAAAAAATATCCATACACTAGAGATTTATAAGCAATAAGTTTTACTGTTTACGCATTAAATGAAATAATAATTAATCAATTAACAATTATAAATATTTTACATTTCATGTTTCACAATGCAAAGTTTTCAAATTATTCAAATATCTTAGAAGAAATGAAACGTATCAAGAGTCATCCATATAATTGATATATATATATATATATATATATATACACTATATCCACCAACTGAGCCAATTGGCACCTTTTGTTAATAGAGTAATATCCAACTTAACTTTTGTAGGTTTGCATATGTACGTAAAATGTTGGACAATGTAGGGGATGTTTGGTAGAGACAGATTAGCTGAACGTGATGGCTGTGAAAAAACATTTTAAAAAATGATTCAAAAATGGAACCGTTTTGGTCACCGGTTTCTGGGTCGATGGTCTGACCGTCCGGTTCGAACGGATGGCCCATTCTGACAAACAAATTAAAAAAATAAAATAATAATTAAAAAAAGTAAAAAACCATTGAACGGGTTGATGGTTCAACCATCTGACTCAACGAATTATTGACTTTTTTAACGGTTTTTGGTCAAAAACCAGAGGTAAAATGAAACTGGTTGCCTGAATGGTTCCTAGGCCGAATGGTCCGACCGTCCGAATCAATGACGGTTCAAAAACCTTGCTGTGAAATCAATAATGACGCCACATGCCGGTCTAAAATGCGTGTGATTGGTGTGGGGCTTTGTCATAGGTATGGCCATAACACAGTCATTGCATTCAGCTATTTGATCAAGATGATGTCCAATAGTTAAGTTTGTAAAATATGAGGCGTGGTGTGTTTGAGTGTGCTAGGCTCTACTAGCATTGGAATGTACTACCAATAAAATTCCTTTCCAACACGTTCCAACATTATCCATGTCATCACATCACGTGTGTGTATTTCAGTCGTCTTATGGTGAGTCTCGCACATGATGTGCACATCATCTAATTTGTGGTTTGATTGAGATCGCATGGTATGAACCATGTCACATTCTATAAGAGATGTTTTGCACTGTGTTGTGGTTGAATTGTTGTTATAATTTTAAATAAATAATTCAATTATTTATTACATTACATGTAATGATCATGGAATTTGTGTTTCAACACCATCTACAAATGATTTCTAAACACGTCATAGAAGAAATGACTAATGAGTAGCGAATGCGATGTGCACATGAATCTGAATTTTCTCCTCATAGAACGCTCTTCATATTGGGCTCCGATTGGCTGGAAAGAAGATCGTATAACCGGGTTCGGTTATCTATCACACTATGGACCCTATCTGTATTGAACACTATCGCATTCACTTGTGATAGATATCGCAGCCTGGTGTGTATAATCTATCCTTGCAACGGCTGGAAACATCACTCATCAATAACAAAATACATTTACAGGAGATAATTCCCATGAAAATCTGGTCTTTAGTAGTGAAAGCCCACGGAATATTTACAGAACAAAACATTAAGTCTTAGCTCATTACTTAGTAAGCATAGGACTCCATCGCCCAATGGATAAGGCGCTGGTCTACGGAACCAGAGATTCTGGGTTCGATCCCCAGTGGAGTCGAAGGGCAAGAATTGAAGAACTCCAGTTAAGTCTAGTTTGTGTATGTAAACTACAAAAGATATTTTGCTTTATACTGCTTTCAAATCTGAATTAATTTGTGGATTTGGGAATTGAGAAATGGGATGCTTGAACTGGGCTCACTTTGCTCTTGAATTTGCCCTGAAAGGCCGAAAATGAAGGCTCTGTAGGGAAGGAATATAAATATATATATATATGTAAAGTGCAAAATCTTGTGATTTTTTATTATTTTGTATGTATTTATATTTTAAAATGAAGGCTCTGTAGGGAAGGAATATAAATATATATATATATGTAAAGTGCAAAATCTTGTGATTTTTTATTATTTTGTATGTATTTATATTTTATATTTTTTTTCGAATTAAGCCGACAGGAATATAAATATAATTATATAGAATACAAAGCCTTGTGTTTTATATTATTTTGTACAGTGTATATTTATATTTGTACTGCTTCCAAATTGAGCCGAAGTTGAAAAAGCTAGTGCAATCGGCGTTACACGTGCAAACAGCAATTGCTATCGTAAATTGGAAATATTTTTACCGTGACCTGGCTTTTGCATCGTCTCCGGTGTTTGTTTCCAACCTTGGCACCTCGTAACATCCGGTTTCTATTCTTGTGATATGTGCCCTATAATCATTGAACCGAGATTGACTGGTTCCTTTGACCTGTAAACTGCAATTGGACTGACTAGTCGATCATGGCGGAATCAGGAATCAGTCAATCGGAGGATTTTAAAAAGGAGCAGCTTTGGGCTCTTCTGTTTGTCTTCATTTCCGTAATACGTGGACGACGGAATTTGAGATTCCCGCAAGTCAGCTATATTCGTAAGTCTGTGGATGGTCTGGACTGATTCGTAAACCAGGCATTCAAAATCCTTTTATTCATTGCCAATCGAGAAACAAGAAGAGAGAAACTCATAACCCAACTGAAATTCACGTTATTTTGTATATCATTCATAACACGACCAAATTTCGTCATGGAAATTTGAAATCCGAAAAAAAGGGACACGTTTGGATGACAAGAAAGAGGAGGATCACGATTCATGGAAGAAGCAGGAAAGGACGAAAAGGCAGATACGCTGGTAGGGTTATGTAATTGAAATTCCTCCATCAACATCTCCCGTGTCTCTTACAACCCGAGGAGATGAGATTCAACATTCATCCATCATTGATCATTCCATCCTTCTTTTGATAGCGACACGAGCGCGTATTGTTTACTTGTCCATCTGTTGCTTTTCTTCGTGAGATGGTGGTGGTTGTTTTTGTTGTTTCTGTGGCTTAGCATGGCCCATCTCCATCGAATCAGCACCGGCGCTTCCTTTAGCCTCTCCCTTGGCCCCACCTTTGTTCTTTCGATAGATCGCATACAATATCAGCTGCATGGTTCCCAATCCACACCCAAAACCATTTGGCACCTGCATCACCATAACATTACCTCTTCCAATTAGATTAAATTAAAAAGACAACGTGGGTCTTCTATCCACCGTCCATCAGGTATACCGCTGGGTACCGTACGATCAAGGTAAAAAAAAGACACTAAAAACGCCAGCTCCCGTCACGCTCCCATAGGCCATAGAACCAGCTCATGTGCAGCGCCACGTGCGTGGTTTCAGGAGACATTGACAAGGGCAACAAGGCAGAAAAGCCTATCCCTCTCGTAAAAGCTCATTGTGTAGCAGCTTTTTTCTTGCTTTTGCCTTTTGGACGAGAGTGGGGATCATTTTGTCTAATATCAAGGATAATAAGGTCATTTTATACGGAAGATTCTTTACTCCCGGGATATTAGCATATGTGGCCGGGGGCCCATAAATCATAATTCATGAATCCGTGAAATCAAAAGGATCGGCAACTTCCGTGCATTGTAGGACCTGTACACCCATTGCCAGATGGCAAATTAGAGGGCCCATACAGTATTTTAGAATTACTTACAGCGATGAAAGGGTCTCGACCGAGCAGGCCGTAGATGAACCAGGACGTCCCGCACATGAACACGAACAACGACAAGAAAAACGGCATGAACTCCACGCTCTTCGTCCTGATCACCGCTCTCTGCACGGGTTTGACGGCTTGGTAAATAAAACTCAAAACGAGGGGCACTCTGGTAATTCACAAAGGGAAAAATTGAAAGCCTATTGGCTATTTACCATGATTGATAGAGGTGAGGCGTACATAACGATGGAGAAGATGGTTGCAGCCAAGCCACATAAGAGCTTCCTTCTGTTGCCATGGAGAGCACAAAGCGAAACCACGACGACGGCAGAGAAAACGGCAAGGACGAACGTCAGAAGCGCCAGAATCTTCGTTCTCTCCTTCTTCGGCGCGTAGATAAGGAAGATCAACACGTATAACGACTCGATCACCGTTCCTGCTCCGTTGATGGTGCTGACCAGGATGTTGTGTGGTGACACAAACGGTAGACCATACCTGTAGGTCAATAGAGTAATCAGAACCTACCGGAGCTCGGAAATTTCCCGGTTCTCGGCGTAGCATCAGTTTTAAATTACATAAACACCCCTGTGCAATCTCAAGAGAAGGAGCAAGAGCCAAGAGGAGCGTACCATGCAGACAGGAGACAGTTGAGAAGGGTCATGACGTATGGAATACCTGAGAACTTCTCTGTCGACCTGCTCTTTACGATTCTACGAAATGTTATTCTGAAACAATCGGCATTAAAATAATCAACGAAGCGTCAGTAGATATCTATTTATTTATTGTTAGAAGAGATTCTATCTGTGACGACGAGGAAGGATTATCTAACTAATATCTCTCTCGTTTTTTAGAGAGTCTCCAGAAAGAATCGAAGCACCAGAGGCAGTTCAAAAGAATGAACGTGATAAAGAAATGGGAATTCTGCAACTAACTTGAATCTCTTCTTCTATAAACAAAGAAAGAAAGAAGGAAAAATGGTGATCGTAGTTCTAGATCTTCCAAAAACCTCGTAAGACAAATACAGAAAAGACAAAAACGGAGACTTCTAGCTCTATGATTCTTGAATCGTGTTACTGGACAAGAAAAACCCCATTTGAAATTATATCCCTACGCAACGGAAGAACAAGTGATTTAAACTGTGTTTGATTGAGAAGCTTACGCAGGAGCCAGGAAAAGAAACAATGCAACTGCATTCCCTGTTTCAGAAACACAGAAGAAGAAGAATGAACCCTTCAGTACTCAAAACACAGAAACTTATTAAGTAGACCCAGTTCAAAGAAAGAAACCCACCAAAAACTCCAATAAAGAAACGCAGAATATCCATCTCTGCTTCCAAAAAATCAGAAAATCAAGCAAGCTTTGAAGAACCTTCAGAGCTTTTGTCTGTTACACACAGTGCAGATATACAAATACAATGAGAAGTCGAGTAAGAACTCAACTGCCAAGGTGGAGTATATATAGACAAATCATGGTGGAAATTAACCGTCAACAGTCAATATTGATTCCATCCTTATCCACAACTTCATCTGCTCTCTCTCTCTCTCTCTCTCTCTCTCTCTCTCTCTTTCTCTCTCTCTTTCTCTGATAATTCATGGAGAAAAGCAAATTAATGGGTTTGGCAAAAACTTGTGTTTCTATATTTGTTTCAGGATTTTAAACCAAAAAAAATTGAAACTTGAATATCTACTAACCTCTCTCTCTCTCTTCTTATTGAAGGTGGGGAGCTGTGAACTGAAGTACTGAACTACTGTAGAGTGTAGTCTGGTGAACAGAGGTTGGGGGCTTCCCTTCTTTTGTCACGGGTAAAATCTGGTGAAAATAGGAAACCGTATTTTCATCCACGTTGTGGATCTACAGATTTGACACTAGGTTACGGAGAAAATTACAGGACTAGCCGATGGAAAGACAAAGTGACAAACAACGAGAGGATAGGTCGGCCACTCGGCCATGTCTATTTCTTCTGACATTGATAATCATTCAATCAGACATGGCGAAACGAGATCGGCTTCAGTCAGAGCAAAATCCGTTCTAATACTGTTCGAAGATCGAGAATATCTCCGTATTTGTATGTTTTATTTCATAGAAAGATATTCACAATGCAAAGCAATGACGCTGTTCGAATGGACTTTGCTCTGACTGAATCCTATTTCTGGCGAAACGCTGAGAATTTGGAGCGAGCATACAGCTGAGAAGGTGAGAAGTCCAAGATGCAGTTGGGCCCACTGTGGCAGGAGCTGGACACTGTCGAATTGTCTAGAACTTAATTTACCCTTGTCATGGGCCCACCAGATTGCAGGGCAAAGAACGAAGCCCACGTGGGGCATCTCCAAGGTGGGACCACTGGGAGGTGAATCATCCCCTTTTTGGTAATAAGACAGCCTCCTTCGTTTGGTTCCGTAATCAGGCTGACTCTCAATATTTTAGCAAAATATCAGAGTGCAATCGAATTGCATGGTCCAGATTCATGCGTTGGATGGGCCCAAGAAGAGGACAAAATTGGTCCATTATAAACTTCCATTCACTCAACTTCAAAGTTTCAAGTTTCAACATAAATTGTCAATGGCATTCAAAAATGTTTCAAGGAAATTTTGAACACTTCAAGCCCTAAAAGAGGAATTTCGGAATTTTTGGACCGACTTTTGTCTCAAATTTTACTTATTTTATAAATATTTAACTTTTTATTCATATATAACGAGTAGGGAAGCACTGTATACAAATTGTAGCTCAAAAAGCGGTGCAAAATTTATAACATCTAAAAACTGATGCAAAATTTATAACATCTTCCTTCTACCTCAATTCTCTCGATATAAAAGTGGTATATATCATCTTGCTTCTTACCTGCCTCCCGAACAAATAACCCTCCTCACACTTCCATTCTTTTTCACACGAACCACCTCATTTTACTTCCCATATATTCAACTTCTAAAAAACAAATAATCTGACGTAAACGTAAATTAGAATTTACACTCAGCCAATCTGCATTCTCATGCATTTACACCAGTGCAAATTAAATTCACACATACTGTTTGCAGTGTAGATCTTAATTAGATACAGAGTTTGCATCTTATTCAATTTTTCATTTGTTTTTTTGTAATTATTATTTGCACTCCTTATTTGATAAAAAAAATTGTACTTCTTGCCTCATTTGCACATATTGATAGTACAGATTTTGCATCTAAAAAATTAATACAAAATTTACACGACTTTCCTCCCACTTCAGTTCTCTCTCGTATAAGTGGAGGCCGTACCATCTTGCTTCTTACATCACTTCCAAACAAACAAATCTCCTCTAACCTCCAATCTATTTCATATAAATTAAGGATTATTTCACTTTACTTCCTATTTTACTTACAAACAAACAAGACAAAGTCAAATCTAAACCAAAAAGTATATTTGAATTTACACAAATTTAAATGAAATTTACTCATGTATTTCACAAATTTAAATAAAATTTGCATTGCAAACAAACTAAGCCCTACCATTCACTTGTTTAAAGGTAAAATGGGTGTAAAAAATTAATTTTCTTTACCACAGCATCAAACAAATTAGGATAGTGTTAGCCAAAAGAATTCAAAGACCCTCCACTTCAATTATTTTAAAACTATTTTCAGACAATCAGTGTTATGTTTTTCCAATGTATGCAATGATGTAATAAATAAAAGTAATATATATAATATACAAAATAATATTAGTATAGTACATATACATACAAGATAAATCATTATATTGTGCTATCTATAACACATACTTTTTTATTCTAGTTTTAATTTTTTATAGAAAATTGAAATTTAAGGTCAAAAAAGTTTTTTTAACAAAATAGTGGAGCAAGGCGCCTTTGGTCCTTCGAACACATACATTGTGAAAAGTTATCTAAAATAAAAAAGGGAAAACCTATGATACTGGGAAGACATGCATAGTATTTGAAGAGACTTGACCAATCAAAGCACCTCCACGAATTTGATGAATACCACCTGATTGGTCACCTCTCTTATGATATCAATTGTTTTGTTGTAAGTTTTTCAGATATGATGTCTTTCCCATAAATCCAAATAAAAAAGATCACCACAATTGGATAAACATGTACAAATTTGTGGCCTTCTAAGGTTTGCATATAGGTAAAAAATTGACAAAAACTACGGGTGCAACTTGGGCAGGCTCAACCTGAGCCCAAATTGGCCCAGTTTGAAATTTTACATGGGTTGAGTTTGGTTTTTCGGGCCCAAAAGTTGGGTTTTTTTATTTTTTGGGCCGGGCCCAGGCCTAATCCTTAGGTAGCCCAAGCCCTACCCGAGCCTGGCCCAACTACACATACACACAAACACACACACACACACACACACACACACACACACACACATATCTATATCTATACTACCTATAAAAGAGCGAATTCCCCTTTTCAATGAACGTTTTCTACCCTTCTTGTCTAAGCTCACAACAGGCGTAAAGAGGGCATATATGTCATTTACACTCACTTTAGAAACTACCCACTCAAAACTGTTAAGAAACTACCCACTTATAAGTTATAACCGTTTAGAAACTGACCATGAATTATAAATAGTTTTGTCTTAGAGATACTTGTCACATGAAAATACACGTTTACTAGTATATATAATTTTAGAGTGGGTTCATTGACCAACCCAAGCTTGGCCCAGACCCGAACCCAACCCAAGTACATCAAATTACAATAGGGGCCAGGCTCAGGTTGGGAAATCGGGATTGACCTCGGGCTCGGGCCTTAAGCCCAAATTTTAGTGTCAGGCCTGAGTTGACCATAAACCCGGCCCAGCCCGCCTGACTTGCACCCCTTACAAAAACTGGCTGGTTTTATGAAACGGGGACTAATAAACTAGTTCCTAAGTTGGATTAGCCGGTCCGTTGGTTTTGACAGGCTTTTTGTTATAATAGTTTTAGGGGTATGACTGAATCGGCCAAGAGCCCAAGTCATAGTTTAATAGGTCCAATTGGTCAGTTTGATATGATTTTCTAAACATTGTGTTTTTATTATATTTACTTTATTATGTTTCTTTGTGAAAACTAAGGGGGCAATCTTTTTCTGGATTTTGAGACGGGGGAAAGTTGGTCAATGGGATTTTGATTCTCATTGACCAAGAATCTCATGTTCTTTTTTTCAGATTTATATGGGGACCATTGAAAGTTTATTTTCTTGGGTAGGTAAATGATACCCATCTCCTAAGTGGGTAAATAACTTTCCCACCTTGGGGGGAAGTTGCCAATACTTGAATGGGACAAAAATGCCCCTTGTAATAATGGATTTTTATGACTAAAATTATCATTGTCTTGTTTGCATAGGAAATAAAAGAACATGGGTAAATGCACTTACCCGGGTAAGTCTTTCTTGAGAAACACTTATCTAGGTAAATGTATTTACCCGGGTAAGTAACTTACCAAAAGGCAAACAGAGTCTAAGTGTAATCCAAAATGAGGAATGGGTTCCAAACAGTATTTTCAATTTGCCACCTAACTGCTCAACCTATATCCCCTAGCCAAGCCAGAAATCAAGCCTATTTTACCACTAAATTTGGCATACAAAGTTTGTTAGCCTTGTTGGTTGGACCATTAAATCTTTAGACCCGGTCAGAAAGTAATAGGTTAAATATTATTATTATTTTTTATTTTAACGATCTCCATCATTAATAAAATGTGATTGTTAGTTGTAACACATTTTTTATATGATAATATATACAAAATGAGAGATACGTCTAATTTTCTATACATTTGTCTGTAATTTTTATGTTCTATCTATTTTATATTTTATTATTTAATTATGACATCATGGATTGACCCATTTGACTTGAATGATTGAGCTAATGTCCTACCACTTGAATGGAAAAGTGATTCCATTTAGAGGTCAATTTTGAAAATACAAGTTCAAATGTCTGAATCTGAATGATATGATGGTCTACCTAAATAACAACTCTTTTTTTCCACACAGCCAACTAAGTTCCAGTTTGATTCACGGGAATAAGGGTCTGAAATCACCAACTATTTGGTTGGCCCGAATCCCTCCCTTTAAAATAAAATCCCATTCTAGTTGAGTCCAATTCCCATTCCAATTCTAGCTGTTTGGACCAAACAAACTATAGGAATAGATTATTCGGATTCTAATTCCAACAGTGAACCAAATGGGCCCTAGTTGTTAATCCATTACATTATTTCATTCAAAATTTAGGATAGTTGGTTTTAACTTTTAATAATAATAAAGTGATTTCGAGGATCTTAAAATTTAATATGTGTGTGTAGCATAGAGTTTCAGATCAAGAAAAGTATAAATTTCATCAAATTTTTCACAATGTTAATGTTAATTCCAAAGTTCTCCCTAAATAATGGCCAGGAGGTCCCTCCCGTTGAAGGGAGGGAAGACAAACAATAGTGGAACATGCTTTCTTGCTTTTGGTTCTCCACTCTTTCATGTTGCATATCAAGTTCATTCTCTCTCAAGGTGTGGAGGAGTTGAGTTGGAATTTAGAGGTGGAAGCATCAACTTCTTCTAATTGTATGTAGTGTGATAAATGGGTCCCGATCCGAATTCCAATTATAGAATGGTGGAATCTTAACATCCATCATCATTGCTTGGTTATTCAGTGCA